GTGTACACACCTCGTTTTTATGTGCAAAAAAATACACAGTATTTTCTTTTAATATATTACGAATTTTAATCTGTGATTTATCTTCAATATAATTTCATCACTGGAAATTATTTTTAGTAATTGTATGTTATATATATATATATATTCATATGTACACATGGATACAATTGCTGTTGAAGCATTTTGAACACCTGCCAAAAAGTTACTTGTATTTATTCTTAGCATAAATCTGACACTATTAGCTGGACGGTTTTGAAGGTTTGACTTAATTCTCCTGTTTAACATTGAATTTGAGCATGTTTTTTAATATGTAAGATATATAAAGGTGGTCCTTATTTATATGTTACCAAAAAAAGTTATATTTAGAGAAAATAGTTCATAAGCAAATATGTGAAGCCCAGCTTAATGATATGAAAGATGATGAAGCATTCCTTATTTTTTAGTTTTAAATTTAGCTCATTTGCTAAATAAATCATGCTTACTTGGGAAAATTATTATGTATTAAATATAAATTAAAATAACACAGTTCCAAAAAACTAATTAAAATTGAAGTATTTAATTCATTGTTTCAGATGAATAAACTATTAAAATGATGCCTGATGTTATGGTTTATATCTGGATATGCCCCCAAAGCTTCCTGCACTCACAGGTGGGCCTGTTGGGAGGTGACTGAATCATGGGGATGTGACACTCATCAGTGGCTTATCCACTGGTGGGTTCATAGCTAAAAGCACTGTTGGAAGGTGAAGCCTAGTTGGAGGATGGGTCAGTGGGGCTGTGGCCTGAAAGGCTGTGCCTCCCCCCACCCCATCTCTCTGCTTCCTGCCACCATGCCAAGACAGCACTTTTCCTCTGCCATGCCCTTCTGCCTTGCTGCCTAGCCTTGGAGTCAGTTGACTGTGACTGAAACCTCTACAGTCGGAGCCAAAATAAACCCTTCCGCTGTAGACTTGTGGCTGTTGGATTTTATGTCCCAGAAAGGAAGAAAAACCACCTGGTATAACTTACTCTTTTTCAGTTTAGATACATGTCTCTACCATTTCAACCTAATACCATTTCAATCTGTTCTGTAGATGTTTCTTTTCATCTCTTTTCAAGTAATTATATCATAAACAGATGAAGAGTGAGGTAATCTAAGTAGTTTAGATCATTGTTCTCTGAGTAAAACAAATTGTTAAAAAATGATAGAATTGGAATATGTCATGATTTGGAGTGACTTTCATATTTTCATTTACTTTTTATTTTTTATT